GGACTTCAACTCCCAGAATTCCCCAGCCAGCCATGCTGGCTGGGGAATTCTGGGAGTTGAAGTCCACCCATCCTCAAGTGCCCATGGTTGAGAAACACTGCTCTAATGTTAGTGGATTTAGGGAGAAGAGGGGGCCAAATCACAAGGGGAGGGAAGCACGGGAGGGACAGAAGCATGGCTGGCTGGGGAATTCTGGGAGTTGGAGTCCAGCCATCTTCAAGTGGCCAAGGTTGAGAAACACTGCTCTAATGTTAGTGGATTTTGGGAAAAGAGGGGGCTGAGCTGTAAAGGGAGGGATGTGGGTGCGACTGCAAATTAAAATGGCTTCCGGATCCCTCCCCGAGCGTGGGCCTGCTTGCATTGCGCTGACAAGGGCTAGTTGGCAAAAAGGTGCTTGCTTTTCTGTAGCTCAGCACTCCTTGTTGGGTGAGGGCGAGGGCTCCCCTTGCTTCTCCAGCCCCTCCCCGCCAGCTTGGCTCCGGGGCAGCGCTGGCCCTGTTCCCACGCCTTCCCGGCTGGATCTCGCATTCCTCTGCCCCCTCCGGTGGCGATAGCTGGGTTTCTTTGTCTGCTTCCAGTCAGGCTCCTTGGGGATGGCCAGGGGCTTCCAGGCCTCGGACCGGAGGGGCAGGAAGCGATGTCCTCACCAGTCGTGGTGGGAAATTTCCCAAGTTTGCTGCTGAATTCCCATAAGGGGCTAGTCCCCGAACATTGGAGGTGGAGCGGGAAAGCTGGCCATTCCACACGCGCAAACCCCAAGGGGCAACATTCCCACTGTGGTTGAAGTCCTGCAGATCCCCCACCCCCAAATCTTTGCAAAAAAGCCAGGGAAATCTTTGAAAAACTCTCCCAGGCGAGCATGTGTGAACTTGCAATCGGGGGTCTGCCCTGCTTTGCCCTAGCCTGTTCTCCAGAAGCTGAGGAATGCCTGCATTCAGCTCCCAAAGCAGCTGATAGCTACACCAGCCTTGCTGGGGAGGCCCCACCCGGAGGCCCCCCTCGCTCGCCTCTCCACCAGCTAGAGAGCTTCCTGCAAATCTGCTCCAGGGGCAGATGTGCGATCGATCAGTTTGCTGAGACATCTTCAAACTCAGCCTGGGATGCTCTGCCGGGAAGGTGCGCGTGCGAAGATGATGCCAAGATTGTTCGGGATTAAGTTTGTCCCTCTGGCACCAGATGGTGGCGTGGACTGTGCCCATTGCAGCGGAGGTGGGGGCGGGATGCGCAGAAGAAACCAGGCCATCCCCTTGTTCCAGATCTGGCCCTGAGATGGGGCTGGGGAACTGGGTCATTGAAGACCCCTGGGAGGACTCAGCCAGGCACAAGCTAGCTTGGCCCCTCTGCCTCCAAGAAGGTGGGTCGTTTGGGGCCGGCTTGTGCAAACTGGGTTGCTCAGTCTTGGCTTAGGGCCTGCCTAGTGTGTGGGGTGGATCCTGCTTTTTGCTTTCCCCGACAGGCCGTGCCTAAAACTGGGGTTTAAAAAGGGGGAAACGGTCCCAGCTTCTGGAGCCTGCCTGCTGCGGATCAGGCTAATTCATGGTGGAAAACTCGGAGCTGTTTTTTTTTTTTAGAGCGAGGCAGGGTGGGCTCAATTTCCTTGTGACCTTTGCCACCCCTCCAAGCCCCGTGACCCCTTTGCTCAATTTTCCCTGCTTTGCAGTTCTAGACCCCCTTCCTGGCTCAGCAGAAGCCCCTGAATTGGAGTTGCCCCCTGCTCAGGAGGCAGAACCGGCTCTGTGGCTGTGCTTTCGTCCTCTGAATTTACCACGCAGCGGGGCTGGCTTGCCTTCCCCCTCCTCCTGGGCTGGGCCTTCTCTTGGGAGCCACAACAGCAACGGCAGCGACTTCTCGGTTCAAGAGTTTGCTCCCTGAAGATCTGCCTCTTTCGTTTTGGGCTGCGAACGTGGGGGCTGGGTGTAGAGGCCCACGTTTATGTCCCCATCAAACTCTGAAAGCTTTGGATCACCTGGCCCAAGCGTGCCTATCATATAGAGTTTTTGTTTCAACTGGGGGGTGGTGGCGAGGCATCCTGTCTTGGAAGCAGAACGGGCATAATAAAGGAAAGAGGCAGATCTGTTTGGTTCCAGATTCTAACAAGGAAGGGGAGTTTGGGGTGGCTTTTTCCTGGAGGGCATGTTAGGTCCAAACCAAGGCTCAATTTTCAGAGAGGTGCAGAAACTGGCTGCAATTATAGCCCAACGTTCCTGAAAAAAGTTGGCTATGTTCAGTGCTTATTATCACCTCTCTTCCTCCTCTCCCCCAGGCTGAAGCTGAGGTCGCATCCTTGAACCGCCGCATCCAGCTGGTCGAGGAGGAACTGGACCGGGCCCAGGAACGTCTTGCGACGGCCTTGCAGAAATTGGAGGAAGCAGAGAAGGCTGCAGATGAGAGCGAAAGGTGGGCGGGCGTCGGTTTGCAAGCGAGGGGCCTTTCGACCGGCTTGGGATAGCTAAAGACACCCTTCGTGCAAGCAGAGTAACTTCAAATGAGGACAGAGGGATGGGAGGCTCGAGTAAGATCTTCCCAAACGAAGCCGGAGTACCCTGGCTTGAGTATTTATTTAAAGATTTATAAGGCCACCCAACTCCAACAGCGTGACTCTGGGCGGCATACACCATAAAAAACCCAAAAATCTTGGGGGTTGGAGAAATTTGACCAGAAGGTGTTGAATGAGCTGTCTTCAGGCTGGGAGCCCGAAGCAGCAGGAAGACCCCGATACCACCTTTGGCTAAGTCACTGTTTGATTGACACCTACGCTATCCCACCTATTACACCATGTTGTCCCAAAATCTGCCTCCCTAATAGTGGGTGTGGTCTCA